TATGATTTATGAAGACATTATTTAACACTGTTATCAGTTTTTATTCAATTAAAAAGGATGCTCACTAGAGAAAGATTTGACGTATCTGTTATGCAATACAAACACTTATTTCTTAACAAAATGTAACTGTGAAGCTATTGCAGTGTGTTTCATTGCCTCTTAGGAGTTTTAAGCTTATTTTGATGATTATTGGGATGATATTGTGAATTGCAATTATTTTGGCCATGATGAAAATTACACAACATTTTCCAATCGTCTATTGCCTTACTCTGAGTATGAATGAAAGCAAACCGATAATTACATCATTCCTCATTAGGTAACCACGGCAACCCTGGTATCCATGGGTTACCTGGTATGCCGGGCCGCAGCGTCAGCGTGGGATACCTGCTGGTTAAACACAGTCAGACAGAACAGGTGCCCATGTGTCCTGTGGGCATGTCCAAACTGTGGGACGGATACAGTCTGCTATACCTCGAGGGCCAGGAGAAGGCCCACAACCAGGACCTCGGTAAGTCTGGGTACAATAGTACGTGGTGACTGTCATCTCTAATCTCTGGAGAAAATGTTGTCAGTGCATTGTCTAGACATGTGCCAGTGAGAGTTTGTAACAGTACGGTCCTGTTAGAAAGGACATTGTGATCCAGTGAACCAGAAGACATTCCTGAGCAGCCGGGCTCATCATGTGCTGGCTGAGTTAGAATTGAAACCATCAGAGCAGCCGGGGCTCTTACTTTTGAATTTCACATTTACAAGTAGAACTATAGTGGCATTATGGGGGTGAAATAAATGAGATGGTACATGTGATAATATAGTATAAATAGACTTCACTATAGTAAAGGATAGACTTGTTTTTCAGAGCTGATCTCTTGGCCCCTGAAACCATTAAAGCCTTAAAGTCTAATTCAATTGGGTATTCCTGTTCAAGCCTGATTTAAATCAATCATTGACTTTTCATCAATGTAATCAGATTGTGTCTCTAAGTGAATGAACTATGCATGACAGACAGGACTTGGCTAAAAACAGAAATCCTTTTTTATAGATTTCTATACAATTGACCACATTTCACTAAGGCAAGGCAAGGCAAGTTTATTTATATAGCACTTTTCAACACAAGGCAATTCAAAGTGCTTAGTAAGTAAAAGTCGTTTTTCTCAGGTGAAACATTAAAACTATAAAGACTATAAAACTGGGTTAGACCCTCAAAACATTATTTCCGATGCAGAAACTCCTTTAAAAAAAATACGAAAGGCCAACGCAAAAGTTTAAAAGGCAACCGGGCGTTTCTTGACTTTTCCCAGAAGAACAACTTTGACTTTTGTTTTTGGAGCTTTTGTGCTCCAGACCAAAGAGCACCTTCACTTGTTTGAACTCCCAGGAACTCAGGACCTTTTCTTTTGTATTGAAACTACTGTCACACCACAAACCATACATTTTCAAAGAAAAAATAACAATATAACTTCTTAAAACAAATTAACCTAAGTTAGCTAAGGCACCCTTGCTAGGCTCTATATAATTTGTAAGAAGTTTTAATTCTTCTGGTATAATGTAGTGTCGTTTTTGCTGGATTCTGCCTGATAACTGACATTACTTAGTCAAGTTATTGATTTTTGAATTATTCTTCTGCACTTGTGGTACTGTTATACTTCATTTTAGCATTTTTCAATATCACATAGTTGTCAGTTGTGGCAAAGTGGCTGCTGTGTTCACTTGTAAGGAAGTTCAAATGTACTCTATTGTGCTTAACCACACGTTATCTCTTATCTCTAACTAACCCTCACCCTCACCCTATTTCCTCTCATCATTTTAATCTGTTTTAAGTTTTAACCATATCATGATTATTTACATAGTTTTCTTATTTATTGTGTTATACACTTTAACTCGAGTTTGTTTATTAAATGTGTGCCTTTTTTAAATTATAATTTTGTATTTGTCCTTCTCAGGTTTGGCTGGCTCCTGCCTCCCACGGTTCAACACCATGCCCTTCCTGTACTGCAACCCTGGAGACCTTTGTTACTATGCCAGCAGGAATGATAAGTCCTACTGGTTGTCGACCACCGCTCCTATTCCCATGATGCCTGTGGAAGAGGGAGAGATTAAACCGTACATCAGCCGCTGCTCAGTATGTGAAGCTCCATCAGTTGCCATCGCAATCCACAGCCAGGACATCACCATCCCTATGTGTCCTGCGGGCTGGCGCAGCATGTGGATCGGCTACTCCTTCCTCATGGTGAGTAGCCAATCTTGATACAACAACACAAGAGGACAATGCTTGATAACACTTCTATTTGGCGTTATATATTTTCTAAGGATGGGTTCTATTTCTTGGCTTGTGAAAACATCTGTATGATGTATGATGTATTCTTTTGCTTTTGGGAAATTTTATAAAATCTCGGATTAATTATTACAGAATGTAAAACAGAACGCCTTGGTGACAAACTGGAGTGTGGGTGTTGGTCAGCTAGAAAGGGAGGGTTTCATGAAATGGCTCCATGTATTGCAATGTCGCAATGATGCAGCGTTTTTTAAACTTGACCCATGCTAGTGGCTAAAAGTCAGGAAACTCTGCTGCTTTGATTTAGACCAAAGGTCGCCACTCCTCTCCCTACCCTCCATTGTTCTACAGGTTTTTGTTCGTTGTGTCTGTATTAACCCATCTCAAACAGAACTGCATGTGTTTTTGCAACATAAAGGAATTATGTGTAAAGTAACTCCTAATCAAAAGCAGTGTTATTTGTCGGGCAAGGCTGGATACTCTGTAGTTTTAAAGAAAATGTAGTATGAGACAACTGTGTTTGTTGGAAACTATTTTCTGAATTGATAGGAGGTCTTTACTATAGAAGGATATGCAATGTTAGGCTTTTCCATAAAATACATAACTTGTTAGTTGATGAATTCATTGTTGGTGTTACAAAAATAAAATGTACACAACATCAATATTTAACTTAGATTCTAAATTGTAACATGTAACCAAAATCTCTTGTGTAGATCTGAACTCACACCTGCCTCATTTGTCGCCCTCTCACCTTTGTCTCCACAGCACACAGCAGCAGGAAATGAAGGCGGAGGTCAGTCTTTGTCATCGCCTGGCTCTTGCCTGGAGGACTTCCGCACAGCACCGTTCCTTGAGTGTAACGGGGCCAAAGGCGCATGCCACTACTTTGCTAACAAGCACAGCTTCTGGCTAACCTCCATAGATCAGTCTTTCCACACTGAGCCGTCATCAGAGACGCTCAAAGCCGGTCAGCTGCTGTCACGCATCAGCCGCTGCCAGGTCTGCATGAAGAACTTGTGAGAGACGCAACAGCAGCATGGACACAAAGTATCGGTTGCATTGACAGTGGCCTAGTGTTGTCTCTCTATCTGTGTACTAAACCAAACAGAGGGGGATCTGAAATACTGATTTAGATCAATGTAAATTGGAAACATTCTCCCCGAGCCACAGAGCTCAGATATGCAATGACTGTGCGATGCCCTGAACGCTGAGTGAAATGTCCTGATGAAGATAAAACCGGAGAAGCCCCGTTATGAAGTCAACAGCATTATGGGAAAACAAGTATTTTATGTTAAATGTGGATTGGTGCTTACTGTTTAACTTATTACCTCAGCTACGATGACTCATTGTTAACAATCAGAGTAGATCAGAACACTACAGCTGAACCAAAGACGCCCGTGTGAATGCACTGCTTCAGTTTCTCTTGATGTTTGTATTGTTTAGGGTTTACAGCCCACCATAAAGCCACTAACACTGCTTCTTTGCCAATTGAAGAATGTGTCTTGAACAATTGTTGGTTGATACTATCGACAGTATTATCCTGCTTTTATTCCATTTATTTTCTAAATGTATTTTTATAATACAACAGTCTCTTCAAGCTGTTCTTCTGTTTTATGTATTTATCAACTATTGCAAAATCATCTATAACTCTTTATTTTTCATACCCCATATGTTCACACAATGCACTGATTATCTTTGTATTTATACCAGCTGAATGAATTTGAAGCCCCTCTTTAAGAGGTTAAATATATATATTATCTAATACTACTCATGTCACACTCATTTTCCTTTATAAATCTACTAACCTGAACTTCCAACAAGACAGATTGCAAACGGCTCGGATCAAAGGTCTGACTGCAGCAAATCCATGCTGCGGTCACTGATCCTGGGTGAGATTAAAGTACTTTACACAATTTAGAAAGAAGGTCAAATGTTCTACTTCACCAAGAGTTGCTTGTTTGCAAATAAACAGTTTGTATAAACTGGGAATATACTGACAAACAACTGTAATGGAATATTAGTAATTTCATAATTTCATTGGATTGTAAAGATTAAAGTTGGTTATATTTCTGATTGTGTCCTTTTACTCTCACAATCTTATCATAATCTGGTCATAGAATGTATATAACAAGAGCATGGTTGGTTACCCCTTAAGTGATAGACACTTAATGAATCTGGCAGACCAGAAAGGCTGCAAAATAAATCTTTATGACAGTGGGTGTTTCTCAATCGTGAGTACGCTTGCTTGGTAGCACATGTCTGCCGAGCATCTTGCTTCAGAAGCGAGTCAAGAATACTTCCTGGCATTCGGAAAAACGAAGTGTGGAACACGCTAGCAAGTGTGCAGGTGTGCGTCATATGAGAGGCCCCGCCTTACATCTTCCGCCACAGATTTGGGGAAATTGGTCCGTGCACAAAGCATTGTGGGGATTTTAAGACCGCGGAGTCTACTCATGTGCAGCCTCGATATTTCTCCAAACGGAGTACGCCGGGCTCGGTAGATTTACAAGTATGCTGGAGATTGGAACAGTACTTCGGCGGCACTCGATGACGTAGTATGCTTGAAATAGTGGCTCTGAAGCAGCTTTACTCGCGATTGAGAAACACCCAGTAGATCAAAACTAGCCTGTAGGGCTGAATCTGGCAGGTTAACGTGATGGAATGAAATGCTCATGTTAATTGATGTGCATTGTCCCTTCGATAAAAAACAAAAAAAACAATTGCCGTAATCATTTTACAGATTTATTAACTATATACAATCACTAAAAAGTTGAAAATGTGCATATAAAATATAAAGATCAGTAATAATGCTAGTAACAGAGCATAAATCAAGTGATTGGTGGTAAATACAACTATAATAAACACAGTGCAACCTGCCACACACCTAACAATTAGTGCTGTTACATTTGTGACATTCTCAATCTAAAACATTTACAAAAAGCAGTAATTGACATTTATGTGTTATCTGGCCAGAGGCACATCTTTGGGATACAAGTGCGGTTTCAGTCGTTGGGGATGAAGGCTTCAAAGCTTAGAGTCAAAACGCAGCACAAGTTTATTTCCATTCCTTAAAATGTAAGTGGACACCATCACAGAATCGATTTGTGTTACCGGGAGGTCATTAATGCTATTAGGTCTCAGTCAAGGCAATTAAGTAGTACCGTCACAGTTTATATTTGGTCCACAGACAAACTTTTGATAGTCTATTGTTAAAAACAAGTCTCTGCTGGGAGCCCTCTCTAGCAGCAGCCGGGTCTGCCCCGCTTGGCCCCCCTGCACTCCTCCAGGTCCACTGTGGGGGACTGCTGGTTCTCATTTTTATTTCTCAGGATGGAGGGCAGCACCAAATCAAACAAGGCCTCAAACAGATTGTCCACATTGTAGCCCGTCTTGGCGCTCGTCTCGAAGCACATCTTCTCTGCAGGAAGGCTGCTCTTTTCCTCCAGGCCCTTGTAGCGCAGTATTCTCCCGTAAAGAGCCATTGCATCTTCGGGGGTCACCTGTTTCCCTAGCGTTATCCCCGAGAGGGAGGCAGGGGAGGCCGGGGGCGTGGGGCAGGCAGACAGAACCTGGGTTTCTGTCCTCTCCTCCCCATAATCCATTCGGTCCTTGGATGCCTCATCTGAGTCCTGGGACAGCTGGGCTCTAGGGTCCGTTAGGTCAGCCTTGTTGCCCACTAAAGCGTAGATGCAGTCTTGGTTAGCGGTGTCAGTCAGGGACAGGAAGCGCTCTTCCAGCTCGGCTAGGCTCTGCCAGTTGGACACGTCGTAGGTGAGGATGACAGCGGCTGCACCTCGGCAGTACATTGATCCCAAACCGTGGAACTGTTCCCGACCTGAGGAGACAGCGAGGTCAACAAATTCTGGCTTAATTTTCAACATGAATCCGTGTAAACATACAAAACTAAAAACAGACTGTGAGAGCAGCACTGCAGGAGGACACACCGCACAGAGCGAAGTTGTGCAAGATAGTCAGCAGTTTGAAAACAGAGACAACCTTTGTTGAAAGGGCACGTTGTGTGACTCGATGCTACAGTGGCATCTCTTGGATAATACTAAGATTATTTTCTTGATTTACTGATAGCTTTGTCCATTAAATGTCAGAAAACTGGGGAAAATAACCATAAAATTACCAAATAAACATTCTTTAAATTTCCTTGTTTTCCGCTACGACTGTTGGTAAACCCGAAATATATTGTGTTTACTATTATATATGAAGTAAAAGAGCAAAGAAACCAGAGAGTGTTTATCTTTTATTTCATCATTGAAACTGTTTCCGATTATTAGTGCCGGTCGACTAACTGATCAACTAATAATTTCAGCTATAATAGAATCTATGAGTGTATTCATTACATCAATTTGTCACAAATAGTTTCTTAAATACACTAAAGATCCAAGGCAGGAAGAAATGTATTTCTTACAAACTACTGACTGAAGTGATAAAACTCATTCATTCCTTCTCATGCTTTTGGAAATGACTGTTTATGCAAGTTTGGAAAGGATATGTTGAAGCCTGGGAAGACGGGTAGCCCTGTCATGTGACTGTTAAGAGGAACAGGGCAGGCAGCTGAAACATGGGGCTTTGAAATGTCAAAAACGGCTTGAAAGTCAGCAGAAAAATAAGCAACAGCATGTTTTAAATGAGCTGCCGAGCAAATCCCCCATACAGGTCCTCGTACAACCAGTATTACTCTTTATGGCCGCCGCTGGGCTCTGAAACAGCAGCCCTAAAATGACTTAGTGCTGATCCTGCATTTTCTACCACAGTGACTAAATAAAATGCAACACCAACGTCCTGTCAGAGGTCACGGAGTAGGGGAACATACACAGGAAATGGCTTACTGTGACTTTCCTTATCTCTGTGGCTCACCAGCTCTACTTTTGGCAGTGTGTATTTGCTGTAGATGGATTACTGTAATTCATGTTTACACAATACTGGAATGTTATAAGCTTTTTCATCAGCAGTAACTTGATGATTCACCAAATTATTCTTTCCACTGACAATATAAATATGTGTATTTAGGATCAAAGATTTATTAAGTCATTGTGATCCTTGGGGCCAATGAAGGAGTGAAGTTCGAGAAAAGCACAAGTTTCAATGTATTCAATATAAGAGCAATATAACGGACTTTCATTTCATTTCAAACCTTTATTTATCCAGGTGTATCCCATTGAGATCATTGATCTCTTTTTCAAGGGAGACCTGCTCAAGTAGGTTCCACATGAAACATAAAAACATAAACAGAACAACAAAAAGGACATCATACAGCATCAGACTGGTTCTGTGGATAACAAATCCTCCAGGCAAATTAATAGAGTTCTTTATAAAGGTGTTAACAGGGACAGAGCATAGAGATTACTAATCATGTTTCTGTATAACATTGTCTCAAGTAATGCTGAAATAGATAGTCAATAATCAAGGGCATTTGCAACTGAAAATTCGATAATATAAAATCTAATTGTTCAACTTTAATATTTACCTAATATAGTAAGGGCCATTGACGTTTATCTGTCATGAAGGCCAAATCACATGTAAATAAGTTGTTGTTATTTATCGGGCAGCTATCAAACAAGCTATCTGAAGCAGCTCTTTAAGATGCGAAATGATAAGGTCAAATGTGTTCTGTGTACGAGAATTAGCAGTAATGCAGAAGTACACGGATGGTGGTTGAGATTTGTCCAATGTTGAGCAATTCAGCAAAACAAAGCACACGTGATTTTTTTAACCTCTCTGTTTTTTGCAAGCAGGGAAAACTGAAGTGACCTATTATATTAACAACATTAAGCTAACTGCACAATAATATACAAGGCCTCCATGTGTTTGTTTTAACCAAGCAGTTGTTTGCATGGTGGGTACGTTTGTGGTGTTTGCTTACTCATATTTTGAAGGGTGTCAAATGCTCCTTAGCATATGATAACCAGCTAAAACTGGAACAAACTTGTTATTTCATTGTTAATGCATGTCATTCTTTCCAATTAAAGAATTTATGCTTTATTCTGCATTTTACGAAGAATTGTGAGAGATGATAATCACAAATAACCAGAGCCAAAACAGATGTGTTATAAATTATTTTCTCAGATAGTCTTGCCAACTGCCAGAAACTGATGTGTTAAATGTTAATAACAATATGAGTAAATAAGTGTATTCAAAATCAACAATAATGTTGAGTTGTTTAAGACTGTTGTATCTTATATGGTATTTTTTCATTAAGTTTAACCGTTATTTTTTCTTTTAAGATTAAGGCTAAACACAAAGCAACTTGGAGCAAATAACTTTGGGCTAATACATATCATGTTAATGATTATAGGTTTGCCCAGTAGATTAGTCTACATGTTTATCAAAGAGGTTTAAGGGACCCTGGTATTGGTGTGTGACTGTGTATAGATTTGGAGATTTATTTTGATGTGCTTTCAAGGGTTGTTTTTCCCCAGATGGTGTTAGATTATTTAACTGTTTTTGACCAGACACGTTTGAATTGTTCAAAGCTTTACAGGACACGGTAAAGTAATTAGTATGCATGTAATATACCAACAAAAAAAAACACAAACGTGTTTGCAGAGTGTCTGTGCAGACTGGGCTGTCACATGCCTGTGATTGCCTCAGGTGGGGGGGTCACGCTTTATCAGGTAAACACAGCTCATAAACAGGAGGAATGAGATAAGAGTTTTAAATAAACAGGGGGAAAAGTCGAATAACAAAAACATATTACCAGCAGTGTCCCATATAGAGATGTTGTATGGTCCCCACTGTTTTAGGAAAAAAGCCCCTCCAACAGTGCTGACGGTATCTTTGAACTTCCTCTCCGTGTACCTGTGGAGCAGCGAGGTCTTCCCCACGTTCATGTCCCCCAGGAGAACTAGCTTCACGTCGGGCTTCTTCATCTTCGACACCTCGGGCATGGTGCTGCTTCGGTCCCGCTGCAGCGAGGATACTTTTCTTTCTTTTTTTCCGTATCGTGAAACAATAGGTCTAGCTCGTAAAATTCAAGTCGCGAATTCCTCTGACAAAAGCCATGTTATGATTCTGAACGAATGTGGGACAGCGCAACAACCATCAGTGTATACTCATTTTCAATCTGTTGTCCGAACTTCAAAAAGTAACTGAGGTGAAACAGGAAGTAGGTGAGGAGCTAATGATTCACAGTGAGCGATTTTACCCTGAGCTGTGTCTTTCAGGTTCTACTACTGCTGGCAGGCCGTGAACTGCCCCAGCAGTCTAGCTCAGCGGTTACCAAACGTTTTCAATTCGCGGCCCACATTCAACCATAAACCATACGGAAGCTAAATAAAGTTCTGAGTGGTCAATTCAGAACATATATAGACATTTATTTATTGGGATAAACCCCTTGAGATGCACCATCTCGTTTTCAAGGGGGTCCCGACAATAGCAACAACATGTGACACGTTGTAAATCCAGTAGAACAGACCGCTGTTGCTCAGTGGCGACTCGTCATTAGGGGCAGGCACAGCCCCACCTAGTGTCAGCAGAAAGTAATGCAAATAATAATTCCCAAAATATGCAAAACATATATATGTTAAAATATATTTTAGATCATGTTTAGTCATCTGATTCGTCTGTACATTGCTGTTTTAGTCTGCGTTCTTCTAATTAGTGTCTACAGTGTGCCTATTGAGCCGTGTTGAGCGATGTGGGGCAAGCCCCGATCAAGCCCCTCTCTCTGCTGTTAAAATGAACGTGTACTGTAAAAACTACACTGCGCATGCTCAGAGCATTTTTCTATTCAATGTGTGCGGCAAAAAAAGAATCACCATAGGGGCACTGTGCTGCCATACCCACCAAACGTCATCTCATAATTCAGAGAGCTGATTGGCTGTAAGTACGTGTGCCGCGAAAAGTGTAGATGTGAAGAGGAGACGAGAGAGAGCAGTGTATAGCGATTAAAATCATTAAAACGGAAAGAAAATGAATGAAGTTCTATCGGAACCATGGATTTGTTTACGTGTTTAAAAAAGCACCAGAAGCTTATACACATCTAAGTTGTTCGTGCCCCACCACTTTAGTACATATAAAAACGCCACTGCCGTTGCTAAGGAGGATCGAGAGAAAGGAAAGAGGTTAATGCTGTAGTGTTTTGTGAAACGCTGCGGCGTTTTGTGAAATGCTGTTGTGTTTTGTGAAATGCTGCGGCATTTTCTGAAATGCTGCGGCGTTTTCTGAAATGCTGCGCCGTTTTCTGAAATGCTGCGGCGTTTTCTGAAATGCTGTGGCGTTTTCTGAAATGCTGTTGTGTTTTCTGAAATGCTGTGGTGTTTTGTGAAATGCTGTGGTGTTTTCTGAAATGCTGTATTGTTTTGTGAAATGCTGTGGTGTTTTGTGAAATGCTGTAGTGTTTTCTGAAATGCTGTGGTGTCTTGCACTTCAGGGCCACCATACATATTGTTAAATATTCCTGCGACATTACAAGTTCTCATTAGATAACATTTTAATCACCTTTTTAGAAAAAACGGCTTTGCAGCAGCGCATGCCATAAGGACAAGCTCTGGTTTTGATTCAGGCCTTCTGACCTTAGTTTCACCCTCTATGGTTTCACCGCATTATTAGTAAATATTTTGAAACCATTATGAAAACTTCTTATAAAAAAAGGAACTTGAACCCCTAGAAAGATTCCCAGAGTCAACAATAGGTTGTTGCATAACAATATGCATGTATCCAGTTAAATGTAGTTAACAAGATAAAGTAGGAGAATATGCATATAATTGAAAATGACAGTAAAGCTTAAGGTAAACTTTGAAATTAGAGTACAACCAGTTGATTACAGGGAGGCTGTCTTTCCAAATGAATGCTATTTGGGCTCTCCAGGTTAAATGACGCAGGAAGGACTTTTACAGAGAACAATTTGAGAGGGATTTTAATTTCTACCTTCAAGGCCAAACTCAGGGCAAAACTACACGTATTACTCGTGCCTGATTTGTCACGTTGTACCACCCTTATAAATCCGTGGGATGATCCCGTGGGTGGTAGTTTTCACACTCGAGCTTTACCATGGCAGACATTCTTGGTAAATTCAGATAAATCTGGTCTGTGGACAAAGTAGGCGTATGTTACTCAGACTAAAGTAAAGTTTTAAAAGCAAGCCAAAAATACTTTTTCACTGGAGAAATCTAAATAATGCAATAACATGTAGTGACAGTAGGTCACATTTTATTCTTTAAAACTGCTGTATTAGACATTTATGTTCAATTTAAATGACTTAAAGGGCCCATGGCATGGCCATTTCTACTGATCATAATTCCATTGTTGAGGTATACTAAAATAGATTTATACTGTGCAATTTTCCAAACTCACATTGGTTTCTCATACAGCATCTCTGTAAAGTATGTGTATGCACCGGTATTCACTCTCTGTCATAAACGGCTCCACCGGAAAAGCATGACATGGGCCCTTTAAGATTTTAAATCAACTCCACAGTTTCAGCCTCTCATATGCTGCGTTCATGTACTGTCGTAAATATCGTAATACCGTGCCATGCTTCATCCCTTTATGCTAAGCATTGGACAATAAATGTAACAGCAATTTGTAGTTTAAGTAAGATTTAATTGTATGTGTTCTGATTATTTCTAAACTTCAGGAAACATTTTTATGTTTTAGTATGTGGTTTTAAAGGTGTTCTTTCTCAAATTGTTTCTTTTTGTTAAGTGCAACATTTAATAGCCACATTCCAAGCAAAGAAATACAGAGACAATGTATATTGTTTATCTAAAAATAAAACAAGCCAAATGTGCAGGCCTGATATTGAACAGATTCAACATAACACAACACAAAAGAAATAAAGTGATAAAAGTTTTTTTTTTAAAGTGTAGTTTGTATTATATTATTGGAGCATCAATTCCCTCAAAGCTCCAACCAGCATCATATAGCGGCCATCAGAAGAAGTGCAGTTTGGCTGAGCTGCTCAGCTGTGTGTGCTGCAGCTGACTTTTGACTATATCAGCCTATATCAATATAGGATTGTCCGAGGCGTCTGTAAAGGCATCGTTTCCTCCTGTACTGCAGGACTCATTGGAGCCTCATGATCAGGATACTTTGTGTCAAGCTGAAACGCAGCTCCAGTTTAGGTAAGAAGAACTATTCACCAGGGGGTGAAGAATGACAACAACATGCCGCAAGAGGTTCAGATGCTCGCCTTTTGCTTTATCTCAGTTGCTCTGTCGCTTTTCGTCACATTGGTCTGTTTGAACGAGAAAGGTAAAGTGAATTAAAAGTGTGACGGTTTATCGCACCGCCCAGTTAGCTGTGATGCTAGTTTAGCTAGCAGCCTTTAATCTTAGTGGTGCCTTTCCTCCATGTTGGTAATGACAAGCTTGTGGTAGCTCTAGGACCCCGCAGACACCTTACAGAGGCAGAAAAAAGGGAAGTTATAACCAGACTGCTGATCACAGGTCAGTTTTTCTCCCTCTAATAAAAGGTGAGATTGTGAAAAGGGCTTTGGACACCGATCCCCGGTCAGCTCCTCCCAAAGTACTTAGCTACGCATTTCCTAACGACGTAAAAGGATAAACATAGACAGCTATGCCTTAGCTAGCAAACAAAGAGTTGATTTGACAATAGATTGTAATAGTTAGCAAGATTAAAACAATTATTAATATCCTTACAAGTCCTTCTAAGCTATTTTAATGGCCAGTTGTTGCTGTTTGGGATAGCGTCGCTCCTCGCCTTTGATGCCAAGATCCAGACGCCCATTACAATCCGCAGAGTCAACATCTCCATTCAACTCCTGGGGCTGCAGGTTGCTCTGTAAGCACGCCTGTCTGGATCCGCTATGCAAGTGAACACAACGCGGGGCTTCTTGTGGTCGGACGTAGAGACGAGGACTTTGTTGAACATCTGGGGGGAGCAGGACATCCAGGCGGCGCTGGATGGGAACTTCCGAAACAGCTTCGTGTACCGCGACGTCTCCCGGAGGCTGGGGGCCACGGGGTTTGAGAGGACACCGGAGCAATGCAGGGTGCGGATCAAAAGCCTCAAGAGACAGTACTTGTTGGCAAAGGAAGGCAATCTACGGAACAACGGGCAGTATCATAAGATCTGTAAGTTTTATGACACCATGGAGAGGATTTTGAGCAACCGGCCTGCTCTTGACCCTCAGGAGTTCATAGACAGTGTGGCGGGGGGAGAGGAGGCCGGGGAGGGCCTGGAGGAGGAGGATGCAGAGGATGCTCAGGATGCTTACTCAGAGAGCACAGGGGAGTGTCCTTACCCTGCAGAGACTGAAGTGAAGCTGGAATATCCTACTATTCCCATCCCAATTCCGGTTAAAGTGACAGTGGGCATAAACAGTAAGTCCTCCTTCCTATTCCACATTTATCTATTTCTAATACTTTGATTTGATTGTATGTGCTCAAAGATGCCTCAAACATTGTATTGCACCTCTCTCCTTCAGGTACTTCAGTGAGACCACATAACAGCAGCCAGCTGGCCAGCAACTTGTCAGCCAGGATACCTAAACGGCCGAGGAAGCGGCGCACAAATTTCCCCATGGAAAAACTAATGGAGCAGTTCCTGGAGCAGAGCGTCCATGCTGAGGACAACTTCTACCGAATGGAGGAGCAGCGCTTGCAGGCAGAAGACACCCGAAGAGAAACTGAACACACCAGGGAGCTGCACATGCTTCAGATGCTCGGACAGATGTTCTCCAGCATCTCCTCCACCAGAGATGGATCTGCAGCAGAACCCCCCAAAACAGCTCCTCCTGCCCGTGCTCCAGTGTTCTCCAGTGCCTCTCCATCATGTAAACAAGGCCAGTCCGGTCACTTCAGACGCCCTTCAGCCCAGACAGACTGTTGCGCCCCAAAAAGTCAACTGTTGAACCCAGATCCACAGGCAATAGGTATTAGTTTAGCTGTCGTGTGCAGCCTCGAGGGGGAATTAAAAGGCAAATCAGCTTCAAGGTGAAGGCTCCATGAGGGAGCTGTCACCACAGTACACGTTTTTTTTTTATGTTAGGTGGTTTGTTAATTTATCTTGTTTTTCAGTATATTGCTATTTGTGTATTTTTGTCATCTTTAGTCTGTTATCCCACACTTTAAAACGATCACTTTGTTTATTCCCTCAGTGTTTGAACGCTACTACAGTTCGGGATCTACATCACACAGAGGCATGGATGAGGACTTCCTCTCACTAGTAAAGAGCATCGTCCCTCCACTGACATCAAAAAAGCACAAGGGACA